AGACTTAGTTACTTAATGAAATTTAGCAGATAGCAACATTCTACAACTTGGATCAATAGTGTGTGAAGATATTTTAGCAACACAGTTCAGACCCATCGAATTACTTCACTTTAACTTATAAATCAAGCATAGGTGTAGAAGTTGTTCAACACACTAGATTTTCTCCCACCTCAGTTTATAGTATTGGTAGGCAGATCATCAGTGCCTCACTAATTGATTTCTCAGATGGATGACTACTAGTTGTTTTGATATAACTGAGGACTGAACAAAGCAGACCTTCTGTTTGAAGTGAATTTCTGGAAGTGTACAACTGTAGCTCATATAACAAAGAGGTATTAAAGAATACAAATGGAACATACCCACTAGGTCCATCTGGAATGGCATTTGCTTTGTGACACAGGTCAAGCACACTCATTCCAGGTTCAAGCATCAATTCAGCAAATGGAGCTTCTCTGAAGAGTTCCTGTAATTCTTGGTCAGACATAGCCTCCAGTGCCTCCACACTGCTGTAATACAGTGCTTTTGTACATCTAAAAAATAAAAATATGGTTAACCAAATAGGGTTCTCCTGTTTTATGATTTTCTCCCCAAACTCATCTTTTTACCATAGTAGCCTACCTTCCTGCATAAAATAATAATAATAATAATAATAAAAAAAACCTAAACTGAAACCCATCAAACCTTGTCATTCCCACTCAAGTATAACAGTGTCTGCAGAATTACATGACAGATACCTCTCCATTTTGTTGCCCTCCCTTCCCCCACTCAACTGTTCATGAATAAGGCTACGATTTAATCACGGGTATTTTTAGTAAAAGTCATGGACAGGTCACGGGCAAGAAACAAAAAAGTCACGGCCCATACCATAAATACCCCAATTGAATCTTGGGGGGGGACGGGGAAGTGTGGGAGAGAGAGAGAGAGTCTGGAGGACCCGTGGCACCAGCGCGTGGGAGCGCCCTGGTGGGCCAGCTGCTGCTCCAGCTGCTGGGAGCCACGAAGCTGTGGCGGCTCCCGCCGCCCCCAGGGCCAGCCACATCAGCCGCTGTTTGGGCGGTCCCTGGGGCCAGCTGCCTGGAGATACCAGAGCAGTGGCCAATGTGGCTGGCCCCGGGCCGCGCTGGTGCAGCTGGCTGCAGAGCCGCTCTAGCAGTGGCCAGTGTGGCTGACCCCGGGGCCAGCTGCTCAGGTGGCCCTGGGGTCAGCCACACTGGCCGCTGCAGAAGTCACAGGGTTGCAGGAAGTCATGGAATCCGTGACTTCTGTGACCTCCGTGATAGACACAGAGCCCTATTCATGAACTAGTCACATAGTATCTCCCCTCCCTCTGGTCACGAAGAGCACTCCTTCTAAATAAGCCTGAAATTGGACAGATTAATTAGTCAAATTTTACCTTTTAGCAGATTCCAGACCTTCTTTTCCATGAACAAGCTTAGTTACTTCTGCAGCAAGTCGTTTTTGAGGTCCCCGCTTTTCAGGTTCTTTAGCATGCATTTCCATCATGTGCTCAATCTCCGGAAGAGGAATGAAAGTGAAGAGTTTCAGGTACCTAAGGGCAGGGAGGGAATTATTTGATCTCTACATTGGTCTGTATATTAGACTTCCTTTCTCTCTGCCATGCAAACTTAATTCCCTGTGTTAAAATGATGTAATTTTAAAATATCCAGATTTTAGATATTCTTTTTCAAACCTTTATTTCTGTTTGCAAAGTTAGGACTAACCATGAAGTGGTAATGTCATGTACATTTATTAATCTGATGTATGTTATTTAACCAATAAAGACTCATTTTCAAAAGAATAACTGGCATGAAGATAGTGGAAATTCATCTTACTGCATGATCTCATACTGTATCTGTCTGTATAAAACAAGCACATTTTCAGTGCTGCTGTTATATAGTTTTCTGGAGCAAATTTTGTGAAAAGTGAGGTTTAAGAAGAACTACTTGCCTTTCAACAGTGCTATCTGGCTGTCTAACAAAAAACTGATACAGTTCAAATGGAGAGGTCTTATCTCTGTTTAGCCAAACTGCATTACCAGCAGATTTTCCCAATTTATCTCCAGTGGTACTGGTAATAAGAGGCACGGTGATTCCAAACACATCTTCTCCCGTCACTCTGTGGGGAAAGAATCACAATGCATTAAGATCACATTGCTTGGTAAGCTTAAATGTAACTTGTACTTGGAATTACTGGTTCTTCTGAGCTGCTTCTAAGCCTTTCACAAAGTAATTAGATGATACTAAAATACATTTTAAAAAAATGTGTCTTGTGAACTCATTGCCACTAAATGTTTGAGGCAACAATATTGGTGGGATACAAAATAAGCTACAATTGTATATGTAATAATGAGACTATCCACTTAGGTTTTTAAAAAATTAGAAGTGATATATAAACCTCAAGTTTCAGGGTATAAGACAACTAGCACCTAATAAGAGGTTAGGAAGAAACTTTCTTTGTTGGCAGGTTATTCCATAACAGGGTTTTTGGCAGGTTCTTCTGAAGCATCTGGTTCAGAATACTGCATAAGATGCACCGAATGTCAATTTTGATGTATAATGTCTTGTAGATGTTATTCTATGTTCAACATAACTTGCACAATAACTTTGAATGTGGTCTAGCTTTTTGAGAAGTGCTTAATTTCCATGTCAACTACCAAGAAAGGCTAGACCAAGCATTCTGTCTCCATTTCACTTATTAGTACAGCAGCAACACCCCACTACCATTGGTATCTGCAGTTGTTCCTTAAAAGCATTTTTCAGCAGCCTTTTCTCCTCTACTTCCACTTATCTATTGCAATGGATGCTGCTATAAATCTCACGAACAGTCTTATACCTTGGAAACAGTCAGAAATGTTTAGAGGCATCTTCTTTTAACAGGCTAGTTGTTGCCATGATGCAGATTGCAATTACGGAACATAAGTGCCTCCTGGTCTTTTATTATGGATTGTAACTTAAAAAAAAAAAAAAAGTCTGAGCAAGCATTTCAATGCTGCTCCCTCAAAGTCGCTATACCTCAGGCAACCTGACAATGGAGGATTGTACTGTCACCTAGGCACCCAAGAGCTGTGTCTACTTATATATTAGAGATATGAAAAAACAGGGCTTTGGAGCGGAGCCCGGAGCTGGAGTGCGGAGCAGCTCCAGAGCAATGGAGCTGAAGGTTTTTGCCTGAAGCTGGAGTGGAGCAGAAGCACAGCTCCAAAGCCCTGTGGTAAAAAAAGATTTCATTTGGTGGAAAACTGGTTGAAATTTTGGAAAATATTGACCCCTTTAGCGTTACAATTTTATCGAGTTTCATATCTGATACACCCTGATCTACCCCGATACAACGCGACCGGATCTAATGCAGTAAAGCAGTGCTCCGGGGGCGGGCCTGCGCACTCCGGCAGATCCAACCAAGTTCAATATAACGCGGTTTCACCTATAACACGGTAAGGTTTTTTGGCTCCTGAGGACAGCGTTATATCAGGGTAGAGGTGTATTTTATTTAAAGCCCCAGATGCTGGAGACAAATGAGCGTGAGACTCTCGGCTTTCATTTAAAAAATAATAAAAATTTCTAGCCCTCCTGGTTACAAGGAAAAACTTGAAAGTGTGACCCGTGTGTTCCTAAAGGCTGAAAAATCAGCAGACAAATAATACCCACTGTCTTTTTTTTAAATTTAAGCCAATATTAACTATTTGAGGCCTGACTCATTATTTTTGAATACTTGAACTTGGCCATCCTGAGTTCCTTGCATTACTTGAGAAACAATAAAGGAAAAAGTTTGACTCCTTCACCCTCATCACTGGCATACTTGTGGATTAGCATGTGTGAAGCAACAGGCTTGAACCTGGCATAGTCACCTCCTTGCTTTTAAGAGGGCAGGTCCCAACCTGCTAGGTGCCTCAGGCCACTCAGCACAAGATGACACCTAGCAGGCTAGGACCCATTATCTCTCAGGGGCTTCCAGTGCCCAGCCCTATGAGAGGAAGCAGTCAGCCATGCTTCTGCAGCCCCTGGCAATTTGGGATATGTGGTCTCTCTGAGGCTGCCCATCTCTGTGAGAGATGAAGTGTGAGGCCATGGTGATGCAGCTCGTACTGGCATCTATCAAGGGCTGCCCAGCCCAATGAGATGAAGTGGGCAGGCAGCCATCCCTATGAGAAATGAAGCTGATGGCTATGGTGGTGCAGCTCTTGCTGGCACCTCAGGGGTTGCCAATCCTGATGAGATGAAGCATCTCTCAGGGGCTGCCCATCCGTATGAGAGATGGAGCCAGAGCCCACTGGTGCAGCCCAGTTGCCCCCTTGACCTGCTGCCCGTACTTGGTGACAAGCTCATATCCGGACATGATGTTGCCCATCTGGTCGGCTCCCCCGAGCTGGATGCGACAGCCGTGGTGTCGGTGCAGGTGCAGGAAGTCGTAGGCCTGCAGGGCCGGGTAGAGGAACTCAGCCAGGCTCATGCCCTCGGCGCTGCGGAGCCGAGCCTGGCAGCTCTGCCTGCTGAGCAGGGTGCCCATGCGCAGGCGCCCCCCGACCCCGCAGAGGAAGCCCACCACCGGCTCGCGCCCCAGCCACCACGCGTTGTCCTGCAGCATCACCTCGCCCAACCGCGCGCCGCCCGCCGCGGGCCAGAACACCAGCCGATGGTTGTCGAAGAGCCTCCGCAGCCCCTCGCGCAGGCCCAGAGCGTGTTCCCGCCCGAGCTCCTCCGACAGCGGCTCGCGCTCCTTGGTGCGGCCGCTCGGGTCGCCCAGGCGGGCGGTGGCCCCGCCTACCAGGGCGATGACGTTGTGCCCCGCGCGCTGAAAGTGCAGCAGGCCCATGACGGTTAGCAGGTGGCCGACATGCAGCGAGTCGGCCGTGGCGTCGAAGCCGCAGTAAACGGTCTGCGGGGGCTGGCCCGGCTCCAGCAGGGCGGGCAGCCCTTCCTCCGCGCCCTGCGCCGGGAACACCTCCTGGAACAGGCCCCGCTCGCACTGCGCCGCCAGCAGCCCCTTGGCGCCCGGAGCCCGCTGCGGCTGGTGATGGATCCGCCGGGAGAGGCCCCCGCAAAGACCCGCGACACGGCGGCACCCGACTCGCATGACCATGGGCGCCGCCATCTTGGCTGGGAAGGGCGGCGCGAGGGACGCTGGGATAAGAGGCTGAGTAGAGGTGGGCTCCTCCCGGATTGTCGCGGGAACGGGCACAGCCGAGGGGCCGGCCTCCCTAGGCCCCGCCCCTTCTGCCCTGTGGGGAGCCTGGCCTCTGCGTAAGAGAAGCGTACAGCAGCCCCCTCCTCCCCCTCCCTGTATTCAGCGGCCCGCGGTTCCTCGCTCCGCCCCGCCCCCCACTGAAACCAGGGTTCTGCGCGGGGAAGGTGGCGCGCGCACGCTGCCCTCGAGCCAGAAAAAAATTCCATTGTCAAAGAATGAGTCCGTGCGCCAGCTAGGGTCTGCAACGCCTCCTGGCGTGATCATAGAATCATAGAATGTCAGGGTTGGAAGGGACCTCAGGGGTCATCTAGTCCAACCCCCTGCTCAAAGCAGGACCAATCCCCAGGCAGATTTTTGCCCCAGCTCCCTAAATGGCCCCCTCAAGGATTGAACTCACAACCCTAGGTTTAGCAGGCCAATGCTCAAACCACTGAGCTATCCCTCCCCAACTCAACCCCAGTGGCCATCAGGCCCACACAAAGGGCTCCTCTTTTCAGGACTAGCTCCCTGGGCAATGTCATTCCTCAAGCCCCAGTTGTTGTTAGTTACATACGTTAAAATGACTGTCGTTTTAAACACTTACCTTTTCCCCCCATGTGCTTCTTGTTCTTAACATTTGGGTTCAATGACACCACAATCTGATTTGGCTGTCGTTATTGGGGAACAAATTCTGGCTGAACCTTCCCAAGATGAGACTCTCTACTCCGGATAGAAGAAGAGAAACTAGAGGTTTTTTTCACTGGACCATATGTAACCAAAATGGGATGGTGCTGGTTCAGCAAAGCACTTAAGCATGTGCTTAGTTTAACGTTTGTGAGTGACTTCATTGAAGTGATTAAAATTAAGTACTTAGCTAAATTGATGCCTAGAAAAGGGCAGAGGGGTTGCAGACTCTGTCTCTATAGGTACCTTGGGTGGCAGGTGAAATTCTTTACCAACATAAAATGATACATTTGAGGTACTGGGGCATGATGACCTGTTGTTAAAGAGTTATATTTGTGACTATCAGTTGAAAAGGAAATATGGAAAGACTCTGTGTACTAATATAAAATATAACAGTGCTAAAAATGTTGCAATTTTATGTACCAAATGATTTTTGTTATACAGCAAACTAATAAAGCAAAAGCAATTAGATGTAATTTGTGGCCTTGGGATGCCTCGTGAATCCTTTCCAATATGTCATCGTAAAAGACTGTGGAACTGCAATACAATTTCCATAGGAAATCAAACCTTCAGCTTTAGGGAGTTCATTTTTTGTCACCTCTATTCCTGAATTAATTTTAAATGTAATAGGATTTCACTAACAGTCCAAACCTATTTGGCGTGCCATCTTTGGATACACAATCCCATGAAATAGGCTTCAATTATCCCTGCTTCGGTTATCTTCCCGATTCCTTTGCTTTTTTTTTCCGACATGCTCCAAATACCCCTTTCTTTACATTCCCTGCACATTTCCACTGGTTCCACTCCATTTCCTCTGTCATGTGTTCTCTCTTTCTACACCTACCACATTTCTGCCCAGGAACTCAGGAATTTTAGTAATGGTTCTTCCCTTTTTTCCATGGGAATTATTTCTTTGCTTCTTGCACCATGCTGTCACCCGCCACTTTCTTGCTAGGTGACTCGCACTTATTTCACTCAGGTATCTGTGATTTTTACACCACTTGTCAGCTCAGACATTAACGATAACATATTGTAGTGAAAGTTCCTTTTTAAAATTCAAACTTTTAATTGGCCTCTTAGATATTCTTTCCTATGGATACCACAGTCACAATGCTCTATTTGTACCGTATATATAAGGTCCTTAAAACAGGCTTCCATGCCTTCTCTGAGCGTTGGCACCTCTTTGGTAACAGCAATTCCATTCATATATTACATATGTGGAATGGAATGCTTATCAGACTTTTAAAGAATGTAATTATTCTTAATCTCTTTTCTGAGTGAAGGCAAAGGATTTATAATTTTTTTTTGTCTGCACTACCAGTTACATGAATTAATGAACTGAACTGCACTTTGCTATGCTCTATGGTAAGCTTTATGGCAGGTCTGAATCAGGTAACATACTCCATCCCCTCAAGTCATTCTGTGGGCTTATCAAACTGAACATTTTATTAAAGGCTGAACTTTGGTATTGACTTGTCTTTTTCCTTATGCTGGTTAGGGCTTGTTAACATTTTTCAAAAGTTTGAAAGTTCAGTAAACATTTTTTCACAAACAAATTTGAATTGGTTTTTCAAAATATTTCCCCAGTTTTTTGCCTAGTTCTATTGCTGGTTTAAAATAAGGCAACTTGTGATAACACGTTTTCACAATGAAAAAGAATAACACAATGAGTCACTGTGTTCTAACACTGAACAAGGAAGTTAATTAGAATAGGAAAAACAGTATTATTCCTAAAGCTACCTTGTCTCTGGTTCAGTGTAGAACTTCTTTTTTCATTCTTCCTCTTGGCAACTTCCTGCTACAGTTTTAAAGAACTAATGTACCTATCCTTATGATGAAGATAGTGCAGACCTTTTAGGAATAATACCACACACTTGCTCCTGGTGCAAGTTGGTGTTTTCCTTAGGCAATGCTCTTCAGATATAATTTTAATGTATAATACATTTTTTGTCAGAGAGGATTTCTCAGTAGTCAGATGGGGACTGAAGTTCAGAGGCAGTCAAGAAAAACATCCCAATTATCTCTTCAATTTGATGGTGGGATTTTAACAGGGGGCCCCTGCCAGCCTTAAAAGCCCTCTCCAGCAGGGGGGGCAGGTTTGTATAATTTTTGGTGGTGCCCAGAATGGGTCCAAGTCCCGCCCTGCCCCCACCTGCCTAAGGCTCTGGGAGGGAGTTTGGGTGCTGGGTGTGGGCTCTGGGAGGGGGTTTGGGTGCTGGCTCTGGGGTGGGGCAGGGGGTTGGGATGCAGGAGGGATGTGGGCTCTGAGAGGGAGTTTGAGTGCAGGAGGGGGTTTGGGGTGCAGGCTCTGGGAGAGAGTTTGGGTGCGGGCTCTGGAAAGGAGTGTGGGCTGTGCGCTGGGACAGAGGGTTGGGGTACAGGAGAGGGTGTGGGAGGGGGGTTGGGGTTCTGGGTGCAGGAGGGGGTTTGGGTGCAGGCTCTGGGCTGGCAAGGAGGGTTGGGTTGCGGGAGGGTGTGCAGGGCATGGGGGTAGGCCCGGGATGAGGAGTTTGGGGTGTAGTTTGGGCTGCCATGGGGCAGGGGGCCAGTGAGGAGGACTCCCCCCAGCCCTCTCCCCACCAGCAGCAGCTAGCTCCAGGGCAGGGGGGCCCCCTCTGGCCCCCTGGCACGACACTCACCCAGGCCGCCCCAGGCTGCTACTCAGGAGGTCCAGCCAGGAGTCGCCTGCTGGGGGGTAGGAGGGTGGAGGCTGCCATGCGCCTCCTCCCCACCTTCCTCTGCAGGCACAGCAGCCGCCGCCTCAGCCTGCCCCCTGCGCCGCTTCCTTGAAGCCGGCTGTGGCAGCGGACGGCATGGCAGCACAGCGAGGAGCTTCAGGGGGCAGCCGCCCACTGCCCAGGGCAGGCAGGGATGCCCAGGGGAGGTGGGCGGGGACGGCAGGCAGGGCCGGGGGAGAGACCTGGCCCCGACCATTGGTGGAGCCGGGTCCCCCGGGCCCTGAATTCGCTAGAGCCTGGGCACCACGGGCCCGTACGATTCGCTGCCCCTGCTCTCCAATACATCACTCCATAATCAGAAGCCAGGAGCTATTCACTTGCAAATTAAGATTAAAAAGAGGGAACATATTTTTTTTGCTAGAGATGGGCAAAGTACAAAATAAAGCGCCCTCTGGTTCATCATTTCAAAGGGCATTTTTGGAGCTGATCTTCATACTCTACACTAGTCTGGTCAATTTCCATTATTTCAGAGAATTAATCTTGTTTAATAAACACTGTGTATTTTAAATAGTACACACAGCAATATGAAACCGGATTGAGCTATTACAACGTCAACAGGAAATAGCTTGTGATCACGACAGACAAATGAACTGAAAGTAGCTTTTTAGTTTCACTTCTGCTCTTTAAAAGCCTTTTAAATCTCTGTGAAGCAAATGCTCTTGGTAATAGAGAAACAGGTAAGAAAAGCATACATTTACTCTGTGATATTAAATGGCTTTTTATTTAGGTGTTTAGAATACACAAAGTACAGTTTCTTTCAGTCACCAATAGTAAACAATTCCTTAAAAGAAAAGTAGAAATTGGACTTAATAACACAGAAGAAAATGGAGAGGACACACCAAAATGATGGTGCAATATTTACTGAATGTGACTCTAGTACTCTGTGAGAAGTTGAAATATTAATGTTATTGTTCTCCTACAAATAACTAGATAGTATGTTTGAATTAATCTAATTACAAAGAAGGGCTCAATTCTCTTATTTTTATGAAGGTTTACTTTGCCGGCAAACAGTATGAGGCTGTCATATTACATATCAAAATTTCCTGTTCATGTACCTTTCATTCATATGGAGGAAAAGGGTTTATTATACGGTTTTAAAATACATTTGTAAGCACAATGAAATTATATTTTTTCATATATATATGATTTTGATTCTGGATGTAATGATATAATCTTTCTTTACCACAGTGATATCAGATGAAAGGAAGAGGAAGGAAAGAAGAAATTCTTAAATATTTTCCAAAGGAAGAGACTCCTTACAATCAGACATGGAACGGGGTTTGTATTTCTTTTGTCTTACATTTTGAGCTGACTAATAGAAGAAACTGGTGCCCAGTTAAAAATATTTACACGTTTGACAATTGGGCTCTTTCTGGTAGATCTGATGTGCAGATCCCAGCTGCTTATGGACATGCAGGAAATTTGTGGCAGCCCAGGTCTATTATTATTTATTTATTGCTTGTTTGTATTGTGGTAGCATCTAGGGGCTCCAATCATAGATCAGGATCACAACAACTTCTTCTTTCTGCCCACTTGTGGATGGTGACTGTAGAGAAAATAATAGTAGGGATGTACAACATCATGGGAAGGGACCCACAGGTCACAGGACTACATGGTTCTTAGTAGAAGACTGGTGCCTTACTATTTATAAAGCAATGTATACAATATGGGGTCTTACAATAGGTAAAATATGGTAAACAAAAGATAGTCCACCAGGCCTGAGAACTATGCAGTTAACGAACAAAGTGGTAGGTACCATTGATAAGTTTGATGAAAGATGTGGAATATTTGTAAGAATCAATTTCCAGTGTAATTTAAAGAAAAAGTGGGTGGAATAGAAAATAATTTTCAACCACTTGCTCCAGTGTGAACAACATTAAATCACTAATAATTATTTTTCTAAAATTCTTTATTATATCTGGCGTGTGTACCTCAGTACTCAGAATTGCACTTACTTAAGGCCCAATCCAACATCTGTTGAAGTCATCTGAAAGACTTCAACAGTGTTGTGACTGGGCCTCAGCAGAGGCAAGGCTGCACATCTTGGACCTGATTCTCTACTCCATTACTACTGGTCTTATCCAGTGTAACTACATTCTGGTCTATAAAGTTAAATGGGTAAAACTGATGCAGTGGAGTGAATATCAGTCTTGTGCAGAACAGAGCATTCTATGTCTAGCAAATTGTCCCACATGATGGATTATTGATGTTTTGGTAAATATAAGAAATTCCATAGAAAAATTGTTACAAATAATATAAAAGTTGTAATGTGAAGTACTCAGAATTCAGCAAATACCAAAGCTGAGGTTGTCATGACCTTAACTCTTTCCTTTTGTGTATATGATGTATGATACAGTCTGAACATATGCAATGATATCCTGGGACAGATCCTTGAAGGCAGTGGAGTTATGCCAATTAACATCAGTTGAGGATCTGGCCCATTATTTTTTCCGTAAGACCCCTGTCTCATCCAATGTGTAGGCTGGTTGGTGAGTAGTGAAGAAAGCTGGGGGCTTTGTTTTTGCTGTGTGTTTGTTTTTTGCATACATCTGTGTAAAACCAAAAAAACTCCAAAACAAAACTAAAAAGCTGGAAGGGTCAGCAAGTCCCAATCCCTGTGCTGACGCAGGACCAAATAAACCTAGGCTAGGTCTACACTACCCGCCTGAATCGGCGGGTAGAAATCGACCTCTCGGGGATCGATTTATCGCGTCCTGTCGGGACGCGACAATCGATCCCCGAATCGGCGCTCTTACTCCACCAGTGGAGGTGGGAGTAAGCGCCGCCGACAGAAAGCCGCAGAAGTTGATTTTGCCGCCGTCCTCACAGTGGGGTAAGTTGGCTGCGATACGTCAAATTCAGCTACGCTATTCACGTAGCTGAATTTGCGTATCTTAAATCGATTCCCCCTTGTAGTGTAGATGTACCCCTAGACCATCCCTGAAAGGAGTTTGTCCAACTTGTTCTTAAAAACCTCCAATGGTGGATTACACAACCTTCTTTAGAAATTGTCAGGCTACCCAGAGTGTCTCATCAACATGGGTGCCATCCTCAGGGCAGACTGTCCAGAAGCAGGGCTACAATCCTCAAATTGGTTGTATATTCTATACTTAGATTTCACAAACCAAGTAACAAGTGTGAACTCCACAAGCACTATAATAGCCCTAACGTGGTTAGATTAGATCAGTGGTTATCAACCAAGGATACATGTACCCCTGGGATACGCAGAGGTATTCCAGAGGGCACATCAACTCGTCTAGATATTTGCCTAGTTTTACAACAGGCTACATAAAAAGGGCTAGCGAAGTCAGCACAAAGTAAAATTTCAAACAGAAAATGATTTGTTTATACTGCTCTATATACTATACATTGAAATGTAAGTACAATATTTATATTCCAATTAATTTTATAATTATATGGTAAAAATAAGAAAGTAAGCAATTTTTCAGTAATAGTGAGCTGTGACACCTTTGTATTTTTATGTTTGATTTTGTAAGGCAAGTAGTTTTTAAGTGAGGTGAAACTTGGGGTACGCAAGACAAATCAAACTCCTGAAAAGGGGTACAGTAGTTTGGAAAGGTTAAGAGCCACTGCTCTAGGTGACCGTCGTGGTCCCTTATAACTCTATGATTCTATGATAACATGGAGTCACAGACAGTCTCCTTGGGCACTCTGGTCTATCTCTCCACCCAGGCAAGCCTGCCTTTGTGATAGATTGTCCCATACACCAGAAAGCACAACAAAATTCAGGTTACTCTCAGTTCCAAAGGACCAGTCACTTACTCCAGGTCAGTTGCACCTAGATTTCTCACCAAAGGTAGCTAATCCTGTAATAAATTAACTAAAGATTTATTAACTACAAAAAGAAATAAGAGAGTTATCTACAAGAGCGGTTCTCAAACTTTAGCAACCTGAGGACCCCCATTTTGATTTTAAAATTTTTGGGGACTTCCAAACCCTCACCCCACTCAGCCTTTGCCCTGCCCCCTTCTCTGAGGCCCCGCCCCATGCTCACTCCATACCCCCTCCCTCCGTCGCTGGCTCTCCCCCACTCTCACTCACTTTCATCAGGCTGAGGCAGGCTGGAGGTTGGGGTGCAGGAGGTGGTGAGGGCTCTGGGAGGGAGCTTGGGTGCAGGGGGGGTACAAGGTGCGGGCTCTGGGAGGGAGTTTGGGTGTGGGGGGGGTGCGGGCTCTGGGAGGGAGTTTGGGTATGGGAGGGTGTCAGCATGCCTTCGTGGATCACAACTGAGAATACCAAATTCAGGACAAACTGTTGAGAAATAGGGCAGATACATCCCAAAATTGGTGGTTATTCTCCCATAAGCTATACCAAACCAGCAACACAAGTAAACTTCTGTTTCACCACACTGGCTAACGAGAAGTCAGAAAAGCAGTTTCCTTAGGTATTCCAGCCCTGGATTCAATACCCAGACACTAGACTTAAAGATGAGTGATTCTTTAAAAGCAACAGAGGGTCCTGTGGCACCTTTAAGACTAACAGAAGTATTGGAGCATAAGCTTTCATGGGTGAATGCCCACTTCATCAGACGCAAGAGATGAAGTCTGATGAAGTCTCTTGCATCTGATGAAGTGGGCATTCACCCACGAAAGCTTATGCTCCAATACTTCTGTTAGTCTTAAAGGTGCCACAGGACCCTCTGTTGCTTTTTACAGATTCAGACTAACACGGCTACCCCTCTGATCTTTAAAACCAGTTTCATCAAACAAAGTGTTCTTCTGATCCCAAAGGACCAGTCACACTCCCAGGTCAATATATCACTCAGATATTACCCAATAATCATGTTGTTGCCAATCCTTTAGTATCTAAAATCTAAAGGTTTATTTATAAAAAGAAAGAAAGAAAGAAAGGTGAGAGTTAAAATTGGTTAAAGGAATCAAATACATACAGCAATTGCAAAGTCCCTTGATTCAGGCTTGTAGCAGTGATGGAATAAACTGTGGGCTTGTTAAGTCTCTGGTTGCTTCCAAATCATTGGAAGGGCCTCAGTCTCTTGGTTAGAATGTTCCCATTAATATAAGTTCATAGTCCAGAGGTTTGAGCAGGAAAGAGGCAAAAATGAGAAGTTTCCAGCACCTTTTATAGCTTCTGCCATGTGGAGGGAAATCCATTGATTCAAACAAACTAGTGGAAAATTACAGGTAAAAGATGGAATTTGGAGTCACATGTGCAAGTCACATGTCCATGCATTATTTCAGTTAGTCATAGCAGGAAATTCTATTAAGAGTAAATAAACGTGTTCCATTGTGAGCTAAGTGTTCCTTTAATGGGCCACTTAACTTGAATAATCCTTTCAAGATGTGCAGGGTAAATACCTTGTGGGCGTTGCCACAGGAGCAAACATATTTGAAATCCAGGTATAGAGCCAATACTCATAACTTTAAATACAAAAATGTGACATGCATACAAATAGCATAATCATATTCAGCAAATCACAACCTTTTCATAGACACCTTGCTTGACAACCTTTGTACAATATTTGTTGCAATTATATAACAGTGGTAGCAACAATGATCTACATGGTCATATTTTAATCAGATAACGTCATAGAGGGGATGTGGGGTGCACGCTCTGGGAGGGAGTTTGGGTGCAGGAGTGTGTGACGGGTGCAGGAGAGAGTGAGGGGTGCAGGCTTTGGGAGGGAGTTTGGGTGTGGGCTCTGGGCTCTGAGAGTGAGTTTGGTTGCAGAAGGGGGTGTGGGTTCTGGGAGGGAGTTTGGGAGTGGGAGGGAGTGCAGGGTGTGGGTTCTGGGAGGGAGTTTGGGTGTGGGAGGGGGTGCAGGGTGTGGGGTCTGGGAGGGAGTTTGGGTATGGGAATGGGTGCAGGGTGCAGACTCCGGATAGGCAGCGCTTACCTCGAGCGGCCCCAAAAGCGACCTGCACATCCGTCTGGCAGCAGTTCCTAAGCGGGGGGCCAGGGGGTCTCCGCATGCTGACCCTGCCCGCAGGCTCTGCCCCCGCAGCTTCTATTGGCCGTAATTCCTGGCCAGTGGGAGCTGCGGAGTCGGTGCTTGGGGTGGGGGCAGTGCGCGGAGACCCCCTCCTCCTCCTCCACCCCAGGGACATGCTGGCTGCTTCCAGGAGCAGTGCAGGGCCAGGACAGGTAGGAAGCCTGCCTTAGCCCCGCTGCGCCACCGGACTTTTAGCATGCAGGAGGCGCTGGGAGGGAGGGGGAGGAGTTGAGGGAGGAAGAGGAAGGAGTTGATCATCAGGGCCTGCGGACCGCCTGTACCCTCGGGGACCTCCAAGGGGTCCATGGACCCCAGTTTGAGAAATGCTGGTCTACAAGGTTAAAGCAGGTAAATATACATACACAAATGAGTTACTGTCTTAGGTTTCAAAGGATAATAGTAGCTGCTGTAATGCACAAGCTCAATATGTCCTTTAGGACTAACCCAAGCTAAGCAGCTGGGGGAATCCCTTGATTATTAGAATTATGGCCCTCTCCAAATTCCAAGCAGCATAGTCATAACAATTTCTCCTTAACAGGGATTTTTATTCCCTTCCCCCAGCATTCAAGCTGTGATGGGAGGAGGGTTTGTGCATGTATCCACTTCATGGGTGTGGGGGAAGCAATCAACAAAGTCATTCATCCGCTGGTGTTCCACAGTGGTTTGTCTGGTGTCGCTAGGCCTTGTTTTGTTGGGGAGGAAATGATACCTCTTATGGTAAACTAGTATTTCACACTTGGTAAATCTTCTCTCCTGACTAGGGTGGGGGGGGGAGAAGGGGGGTTCAGTTTCATAGCAAACACTTTTGTAGTACAAAGCAAACACTTTGATATTACCTTATAACAAGGGATACACATACTATAAGTGAGGTTAATGCACGCAGCAACTCACAAGCATTCCACTAAACACATTCTTATAAACTTAACATCTGTTGTAACAATGCTAACACACAGGTGAGCCAGAATGGTTTCCAGCTATGCATTTATCAGTGTTCTGTGATGTCTAGGGGCCTTGGCAAGAGCTGGCACCTGGTCTGCCAGCGTCACAGAAGCCTGTTCCAGAGCTTAACTGTCCTTATAGTTAGAAGGTGCCCAAGGGTTAAATCTTAGCCCCATTTACTTCAGTGGTGCCAAGTTTTCACCCAAAATGTTTTTTTTCATGATAGATGCTCAGTAAATTACCTGCATTACAACAGTTGACTGTTTTTAACAACATGGATTGGGGCTCTTTTTGAATATGTCTATTGAATATGTCTTTTTCTTTCTTTGAAACTATGTAGGTTACAAGATTGCCACACGTTTAGGAAATAAAAAAGACTTGTGTATGTTTCTAGCCCTTCATATGGAGAATTCTCCAATGTGTGTTAGCCCATCTGAAAAGGTATGTAATGAGATGTCACTGTGAAGAGGTGTTTCTTTCCAATAAAAGGGGATGAACCCTTAAAATCACTGATAATATCAATTAATAGGTACCAACAGTAATCAATACTGTTTAGTTTTCAGTCAGTAAGCAGATGAATAGTTACATAAAGAGCTCAGTTCCCTGATTAGATAACAGCTGAGATGTGATCATTCACAGCCACTATATCATATCAATATACCATAATTCTTAACCTACCTGATGGTAGGTAGTATGACAGTGGGAGATTTCTGGAAAAAGGTTAGTGTGTACAAGTCTTCTGTTTTAGTTTTCCTATCTGTTAATTGGGGATAGTAATGCTTACTTGCCTACTTCCCAGGGGGGCTTTGGAGATTAATTCATACTGTATAGAGATTTTAAAATGCAAAACATTTTATGTGTTAAATATTATTGTTGTTACTGATCACTTTCCATCCTTCCTGTGCATAATGGGCCAGAGTAACTAGTATGCTACTGTTCTTTAAGATAATTGAATAACATGTGAAACCCCCTAGGGTAGATTATTCCAGTTACTGCCTCCACAGAGAAGACTAGAATTTTACGTTTAAGAGTGAATTTGTTTGAGCTTAATTTATACGCTAACTTCATAAGAAAGCTTTGTCAGATAATATTATCTATTATTTGAATCCAAAGCCACCCAGAAGGATTAGGTCCTTATTGTGCTGGGCACTGTATAAACATATCATTATACATGGACATAGTTTCTCATCCAAAAAGCTTGCAATCTAATCAGTAGCACTGATGTCTCTCTGCCTTACTGTATCCATCACAGCTAATGTAATGCTGACAAAAGATCCTGACAGAAATGATTTAGACCCCTCACAAAGTCATGCTTCCTTTTTCTTGCTCATAAATTTCACTTGAGGGTGTTTTAGAAAACTATGGGTTGATCTTGCTTGCTTGAAGTCACTTGGAGTTTCACCAGTGACTTCAAAGGGAGACTGATTGGGTCCATTCAGAAACAGCATACGCATATAAAGATAGTGAATTAATAAGAATAATGAACAAGTAAATATTCATCTGACTGATAAAGCAGAAAGACAAATTAAGAGCCAAAGGTTATTAGGATGAAGAATCAATGTACTTAAAATCAATGTAGCCAAATCTGTAATACATTGAAGCTGTGTTTTAAAATGTAGGTGTTTGTAAAATAAAATTTGCAGACAAATAGTAAGTCACATTGTTTTCTTTCAGTTCAATAAAACTGGGATTGTTGTGTGTGAGTCAGACAAAATACACAAAGTGGTAGCAATGAGCTGCTCCAGAGAAAACTTACATGCTGTGCAACATGTCGTGCTGAATGTTCCCTGTTCTTTGAGTAACTGCACTGTGTATTTGTCCAGGAAACCCTGCTCCACCTGTACTACATTTCTCATTCAAGGTAAATAATAAACTGACCAACCCATTGAAGTCAGTGGGAGCTTTTTATGAGTAAGGAGGTCAGAAATAAGCCCATACTCAATATCCAGTTTGAAAAAATCATGTTATCATATGGAGCTCAATCCTGCAAATCCTGACTCTCACAAGTAGTCTTTTATTCATGTAAGTAGTCCCTTTGAAATCAGTGAAACTACTTGTCTGGGAAGGATTTGCAGGCTAGGGTCATAAATTGTAGTTCTCATGTCATGTAATGTGAGCTTGTGTCAGGATCCACTTACGAAGCAGGTCCAAAAATATATAACTCTCAGTGTTCGGCTCCCCTGTTCTCAAGGACCACATGCTGCAGCTCAAGTTGGTGGTACAAAGCTTGCTTTTATGCACTCCGACTGCTGGGCTGGCTGGGCACCAGGCCAGCCCCTAGCAAAAGTTAGAGCAGCTGGGTGTGGGGCTAACCTGGCCCCGGCTCCTTTTCTGAACCATGGTCTCTTTACTGGCCTCAGGCATGAGGGGTGTGATAGTAGCTGTTACAGTGATTTACAGCATCCAGGGAGCCCTCTGTACTGGGGTGGGGATATTCTCTGTGGACAGTTACATTTTTGACACTAGAATGCACCAATGGTGTTGCACACACTGGCTGCACTGCAACAGAGAATTAGGCCAACCATTGTTATCAAGAAATGTAGGCATTAATGATCCTGTCTGGTTGAATTGTATTGTAAATCAGTCTAAATTTTCATCTTTAGGATCAGTTTCTTCAGTCTATTACTGGCCAATGTCTCCAGAACTAAAAGGGGAAGATTCAGCAGTTGAGGAAGATCTCAAGCAAGTTGACCAAATGTTCCTCAGAAGTAATATAAGTAGCAGTGTTTTTCTACCAATAACAGACTCTGACACTGTATTTAAGATTTCATCTAGAATCAAAATATACAAGTGCACAGAATGCAGTTCCCATTATGCTGAGGCTGTCCCTAAAGACATGGAAAAAAATAGTTCATTGCTTAATATGCAAGGACATATAAGGATATGTGCAGAGCAGATGAAGAATTCATTGTGTTGCCTTGATTGTTTACTGCATTGTCCCCATGGAAAATTTGAAAAAAAAGAAAAGATTGATGTGGAAAAAATGCACACACATGCATTGCAGCTTTGTTATCTTTTAGCAGCAAGATCTGGTAAGTATACTGAAAATAGAAAAAATAGCAAACAAATATGAAAACCAGGTATTTTTTCCTAATAAATTTAGCTAGAGCTAAGCCAAATATTTCATAACTCATGTTGATAACAAAGGAATTGGTATGCTTTCCTCACCCAGGATCTAAATAAATATTTTTTTCATTTAAATAAGTAGATATGTTTATTGAAATCATATCCAGTACTACATTTGAATCAAAATAGATTTAAACTCAAATCAATGCAAGTGAAATTGCAACAAGTTATTTTGAATCACACTATCATATTTCAAACCCAAAAAGGTTTGTTTAAAAACAATGAAGGTTACTAAGTGACAACCATGTCCTTATCTAATATCATTTATAAAATCTAAGCAATTAAAAGCAAGGAAATGATAAGTAAATCTTACAATGTCCATCTAATAAACATAAACAAAAGTTTTGTATCAAGAACAAAGAAGTGCATATTTCATCACGTAATTCTGACTCCCTGGATTGGTGTATGTGTGAATGTTTATATTTAGATATATTTTATTTTCATGATTTTGGCCTCTGAATATTTTCTTGTGATAATGTCAAATGAAAACGATCAGTTAATATATTTATCAACTGACACATTTTTTGGTAAAGTACTTATAATTGCTCGTTCTTCTTTTGCATTTATAGTTTACCAGGAAAAGTGTATAAAATTGTCTGTTTATGGTAAAACTATGTATGTAAGTGGCCTTGCATTTGGAGTTCATCACCATACCCAATTAATGTGTACATAAAACGTTTTATGTTCCATTTTCAGGGTTTTGTATTGTGTTTATATTTTGAGATTACTAATCAAGGAAAAACTTTACATTGGATTGTTGTGTTGTGATGAAATATGCTTTTCTTTGTATCTGATTATAATAATCCCTTTTCATAATAACAGTGTATATGTTGCTGTCTAGATAACGTATTAATATAGTGTAGGGGTACTTGTGTAGTTTAGACAGATCAATCTACTTATACATTCTGTTTCAATATTCTAAAGCATGACACCTTAAACCACAATATAATATTTAAAGTCTAACCATTAAAGTGATATAAAATGCTCTTTTTCTTATAAAAGATGATCCAGATCGAGGTGTGGGTTGCGTATTATACAGTCAGAATGGATATTTTGTAAGTATGGCAAATGCTTCATGCACTTCCTTTATTGTTCACTCTCTCCAGTGCATTAGCTAATAAGTACACTAGTACTGGTACTTCCAGCTTTTGCCACTGTTACCTGGCTGGTCATTGCTCCATTAATGTATCTACCTTACAACTAGATAATGCCTTCAGTATTTAGCCCTTAGTAAAATGTGTAAGGTACAATACCCCATAGGAGCACAGGGTTTTTTGGCTGCACTCTCAACCACTTCTGTAACATAACGATAATGCATACCCTATCATTGGGCCTTGGAGACGAGATTTTAATCTAATCTTAGTTACAGTAGACTTCATTTTACGTCAAGGTAACTGAATCAGAATCTGGCCTTGTACCTTTCTCACCTCTTTGAAAACTTAAAAATACTTATTAAAACACCTAAAGTTTTTAGAACATCACATACAGTTCATTTAAAGAAACACACCTTTTTTTGTGTAATTGCAGCTAACAATTCCTGGCACCTCCCTCCTCTGATAGTCTGGATTTCACTTCCAGCCTCCTTTCCCTCAGAAGGCTAGCTCCTAATCACTTAACTATAAACACAGTAACAATAATGATAACATTTTATCATTGAAATCCAGACAAGTGATTCACCATAGCCCAGCAAAGAAGCTGGCCATAACTATATTATTAAGGTAGGGAGGGAAAGATATTATGATGGTGGAGGAATTTTGAGGTCACTGGATACAGGAAAAAAGTATGCGTAGTAGCTGGTGGTTTTGAATGGGATAGTGAGGGTGAGAAGGTTATTTGCTGGTGCAGTTGAGATATTTTAGTCTGGTAAATTGGAAAAATTGCCTCAAAACTTTGGGAAGCAATACATTAAAATATACAAATAGTGTATATTACATTCATTATAGGGCTCTTAGACTGATGTATATATGTGATAGTAGGCAGTGACTGAGTATGGGAGTAGAAAAATCCCTGAAAAGTAAAAGTGATGTAACTATTGTATATTACAAACTTTTCTCAAACATGGACATTGTGTGTATGTCTAAAAAAGGGAAATGTCATGTATTGTATTTATCTTTATTTAAACTACAGTGATATGTGTCTTATTTTTCTTAAAAAGCAACAGAGGGTCCTGTGGCACCTTTGAGACGAACAGAAGTATTGGGAGCATAAGCTTTCATGGGTAAGAACCTCACTTCTTCAGACTGTTCAGAGGTTCTTACCCACGAAAGCTTATGCTCCCAATACTTCTGTTCGTCTCAAAGGTGCCACAGGACCCTCTGTTGCTTTTTACAGATTCAGACTAACACGGCTACCCCTCTGATACTTATTTTTCTTAGTCATTCTTGTTATCTTACAGCTCTGTTAGGTTCTACTAATTTTTTTTCTTAGTTTGGGGCAGGTTATAATGGATACCCTATTGGTGCAATATTTGCAAACCTGCCTTGTGCAGGTAGAGACGTCAAAAAAGAGTCAGGAACAGCAAAAGGACCAGTCCTTATCCATGCTGAAGCAAATGCTCTACTTTTCAGGTTATTATTATTATTATTATTTATTATTTGTTTAGAAGTAATTCTGTGGTTTTACATAAATTCCTTATGATACTATATATCAATGCAGTTGTAATATCCATGTGATTAATTGTGGAGCCATGATATAAATTGCATTCAGCATGCACCTTTGACCACCTCACCTGGTGTCTGCCCAGTAATTTATCTCCCGCTAGGACTACTAATATTCTACACCTCTAAGCACAGTAATATGCTATCAAAATTTTAACAAAGGCTTTTTCACAAAATTTTCACCATAAAACCTCACTGTTCCACTCTTCAGGAATAGTTACCCAACATGCCTACATGCCTACCTCCTCCCCACAACATGAAACTCCAAGCACCTTTTGAAAGATTTACCTGACAGCATCAGCTAATCCTTAGGACAGCAACAATAGTGGGAGGTGGGTTGCCTTGAGGATGCTGGTGGCAATGGTAGTGGCTGGTGAGTTATTTACATCTGTATGTGTGGGGAGCTGATGAGTGCAGCACTGCTACTATCTACTTTGTTGATAGCAGAGATTGGCCATTTTGGGATGAAAATGCTCTGCTTCCATTGCCTAGCAACAAGCAAATGGCACTGTTCCTTATGCAGGCACTTAACTGTGGTACTGGAGAAGAAGGAGAGAAGATGCTTTGGCTGGCATTGCCACTGCCTTAGCAATAGGCAAGCAGCTGTGTTTGGAGCAGATTAAGACTAGCTGAGGTTCAGATACACTAGAATTACAGAACTTTCCTGCCCTTCAAAACAGACACTTCTTTGAGTAGTTTCCCTATAGGTGTTCCACTTCAGGTGTGCATGTGCCACTCCTGCCCTTGATAGGAGATTTTCCATTAGCAGTGTCCGTTCAGCCCATGTGTACACTCTATACAACCTCATGCCATGCTTCAAAGGTATATAGGGTTGCGCGGGTGAACCACCCTCAGTTCCTTTTCTACCACCTTGGCCTGAGAAGGAGCTCTAGCGTTTCTGCCTCATGTGTGTCTCAGTGTGTTTTGTAGTTATTTAGTTACTTTAGTGTTTCAAACGCTTCCTCTCTGATCAGGAGGCTATCAAGATCAGCGACAGCCACTGTACAGGTATCTGTTGCTTAGGAGATTCTAACACCATAGACATAGAATCGTAGGACTGGAAGGGACCTCAAGAGGTCATCTAGTCCCATCCCCTGCACTCATTGCAGGACTAGGTATTATCTAGACCATCCCTGACACCTGTTTGTCTAACCTGCTTTTAAAAATCTCTCATGATGGAGATTCCACAACCTTCCTAGGCAATTTATTCCAGTCCTTAACCACCCTGATAGTTAGGAAGTTTTTCCTCATGTCCAACCTAAACTGCTCTTGCTGCAATTTAAGCCCATTTCTTCTTGTCCTATCCTCAGAGGTTAAGGAGAACAATTTTTCTCCCTCCTCCTTGTAACAGCCTTTTTAATGTACTTGTAAACTGTTATCCTGTTCCCTCTCAGTCTTCTTTTCTTCAGACTAAACAAACCCAATTTTTTCAATCTTCCTTCGTAGGTCATATTTTCTAGACTTTTAATCATTTTTGTTGCTCTTCTCTGGACTTTCTCCAATTTGTCCACATCTTTTCTGAAATTTGGCGCCCAGAACTGACAACTCCCAGAAGTGTAACTTTTGCCTGGTTCTAAAATCTAGAGCTTGGAAGAATCAGGAGATCAAACTGAAGCTGCTGCTGATGGAGCACTCCCTTTGACCTGCTTCCAAGTCAGGTCAGGAGACTCCCTCCCCATACATTTATCTCCAGACAGATCCAGTGCTCCTTCGACTTCGGCTAAGGTCTTGTCTAAGAAGGGGAGGAGCTCAGAGGACTCAAGGAAGGGTCTGAACAAGAGGCACTCAGTCTCTCACCACAAGGAGTAGCTCTCAAGAAGGTTTACAGTGTCGGAGGCTTCAGCCTCTCAACTCAGTCCTATGGAGGCTAAAGACTTCTTCCGGTACCAGATTGTGGAGCCCTTTGGAGAAGCGTGGCACTGGCAGGACCCTGCTACAATCTGCCTCCAGATTGGGACCATCTATTTCAGACTTATCAACGGTGCCTTTTCGCATTGGTACTGACAACATCGAAGCACATACCTTCAGCCCTGACACCTGTGGGCTCCAAACCAATGTTTGTCCAAGCTGTTACTGGCTGAGTAATAGGTCCTCCTGAACCAGTCCTTGATAGCAGCAAAGACTTAGCCCTGGTCTACACTACACAGTTAGGTTGATGTAAGGCAGCTTAAATAATAAATCTCCGTGGGAGACTTCCCTTCGTATGTTAGACAGGCATTGACCTTTTATCTGGATAGGACCATGCAGTTTTGGAAATCACCAAGACACTTTGTCTCCATTGTGGAAGGATCAAAAGAATCTATGATCTCTTCACAGAGTCTGTTGAGATGGATCTCTGGGTGTATTGCTGCTTATTATAGTGCAGCTGGTGTTTTGCCTCCTCAAAGGATTACAGCATACTCCACCAGATCACAAGCAACTTCCACAGTGTGACTCAAAAACATCCAAGTGCCTCAGATATGCAGAGCTGCTACGTGGGTTTCAGTGCACACCTTTACTAAACACTACGCCTTGGTCCACACCATCAGATTTGATGCAGAACTTGGTTGTGTTCTGTTGTCTTCAGTGTTGGACTTGATTCTGAAGCTTCCTGTGAGAATACTGCTCAGGAGTCACCTGAAGTGGAGCACTCATAGGGACACTACTCAAAGAAGAAGAAAAGGCTACTCACCTTGTGCGGTAACTGTGGTTCTTCAAGATGTGTGTCCCTATGGGTGCTCCACTACCTGCCCTCCTTCCCCTCTGCTGCAGACTATTCTTGTTGCATGTTGGGATAGAGAAGGACATGAGGGTGGTTCACCTGTGCAGCCCTCTGTACCCTTTGAGCGTGGCATGAGGTTGTATAGTATGCACGGTCTGAGCGGACACTAATTACAGAAAATCTTCAATCAGGGGCTTGAAAGGTGCATATGCGCCTGAAGTGGAGCACACATAGGGACACACATCTTGAAGAGCCACAGTTACTGCAGAAGGTGAGTAAATCTTTTCTTCTAGCTAGTACCCCTGAGTCCAGCAGACTGCTCTTTCCTCTCCAACCTACAGCATTCCCTGACCAGGCTGGAAATATTCACTGTCATTTAATTTTCACATTCCTTTAAAATATGCAAAAATTAAATAACAATATTCCCAGTACTGCAGTACGAGCCTGATTGCAAACTCACACCTGTTTTACACTGAATATTGTAATTACCATTAATAATACTTAGCATATAACTGTTAAAAATTATTTTGGGGCATTAATTAATTAATCCATAACATTCCTGTGAAGAAGGCAGATATTATCCTCATTTTACAGATATGGAAACTAGTACACATAGAGGTTTTGTGACTTACCCAAGACCACAAAGGGAAGCAGTGTTAGGACCAGGACTAAAATCCAAATTTCCTGGCTTCCCTTCCACTAGACTACATTGCTCCAGCTCCATTTTCAGTGGAGTTACTCTTGATTCACAGCTGAGAGCACACTAAGGGCTGGTCCACACTAACCCCCCAGTTCGAACTAAGATACGCAACTTCAGCTACGTGAATAACGTAGCTGAAGT